TTGCACTGCCGCCCGAAAATGTCCCCGGGCACCTCGCGGAACTGCAGCCGCACCTCGGCCTTGCGCTCGTTCAGGGCCTTCCCGCAGCGCAGCACCAACGGGACACCTGTGGGGGTGGCATTGGCACCATTGTCACCATCGGCACCATTGTCACCATTGTCACCATTGTCACCATTGGCATCGTTGTCTTCATTGGCATTGTCATTGTTTTCATTGTCGTCGTTATCAACCATTGATATCATCATCGTCATCATCATCAATGTCATTGTCAACATTGTCATCATCATCATCGTCATCATCATCATTGTCATCATCGTCACCATCATTGTCACCATTGTCACCATTGGTATCGTTGTCTTCATTGGCATTGTCATTGTTTACATTGTCATCATTAACAACCATTGATATCATCATCATTGTCACCATTGTCATTGTCATCATCACTGTCATCATCATCATTGTCATTGTCATCATCATCACCATTGTCACCACTGTCACCATTGGTATCATTGTCATCATTGGCATTATCATTGTTTTCATTGTCATTGTTAACAACCATTGACATCATCATCATCATTGTCAACATTGTCATCATCATCACCATTGTCATCCTCGTCATTGTCATTGGCACCATTGCCATTGTCATTGTTGTCATCATTGGCATTGTCATCGCTTTCATTGTCATCGTTAACATCCGTCAATATCATCATCGTCATCATCATCGTCATCATCATCATCGTCATCATCGTCATTGTCATTTGTCACCATTGATATCATCGTGGTCACTGTCATCATTGTCATTGCCACCATTGACATTGGCATTATCAACGTTAACATCCATTGATATCACCATCATTGTCATTGTCACCATTGTCATCATCATTGTCATTGTCAACATCACCATTGTCACCATTGTCACCATCATTGTCATTATCATCATTGTCACCATTGATATCACCACTGTCACTGTCCCCACTGTCACTGTCCCCACTGTCACTGTCCCCACTGTCACTGTCACTGTCACCACCAG